GCCAGTCCCTTCTCATGAACACTAGACCTAGATTCAACCCAAATTTCTCCTCCATGGCTGCACAGTGCCAGGAAGGGAACTGAGCAAACCAAGGCAGAGGTTCTTTCCTTTTCTCCAGTGCTCTCATGGCCAGGTGTGGCACCCATAACCACAAATGAGGCAATTAGGGAGAATAAGTGCTGGCTGCCCTGCCAGCCCAGAGCCTGTCTGCCCAGGGCACCCAGACTCTGTGAGGTCCCCACCTGAAGAAGCAGTTCCAGCTTCCACAAGGAGCACAGGACCAAGAGTCCAGGACCCAGGTTCAAGGCCCAGCTCTGCCACTTTCTAGCCATGGGGCTCGGGTTCTCTGGAGGCAGCATAATGGAGTCAGTGGGTTTGGCAGGAGAAGATTTGCATCCTGGCTCCCTCTCTTCCAGGCAGGTGACTCGGGGCTGGGTGGGTGTCCTTCCTCCTCCCTGACCCTTGGTCATCTCATTTGTAAAGTGGAGGTGATGATTCTCGCCTCAGGGGTGAGGCACTGTGGGGTTAGGAGAGAGAGATTTGTCAAGTGGCATGGGCGGGGCAGTTCCCCTCCCCATCTCTGTAAGCTGGAAGTGATACCTGTGAGGCTGAGGCTCTAGGTGGGTGTGGGGAGCCATTGAAGTGGTGAATGGAAGGCCCTGGGTGAAGGGCCCTGGACTGCTGTTGGAATGTCACTCACCCACTGTGTGCCTGTACTTCCCAACAAGCAGAGCCTGCCAAGCCTTTCCCATCTGAGGGGAGTTCCGTTTCACTACCGGGCTGAGGCAGGCATCTCAGGAAGCGGCCCTTGGCTTTTGTGTGCTGAAAAGTAACCAGCGCTCCATCTCTGCTGATTTCTGCTTGGGAGTTCTGTGAGCTTCCTGTATCATCTGTCCACTGACAGGCTGCGGCAGGGCGGACATCAGGATCCCTGGGGTGGCTTCCAGCCTCCCTCCCTTGCTTCCCTTGTTCGATCAAACATCTACAGAAGCTCCAGCCTCAGACTAAGCCCTGGAGGAGACTGGGTCCCACGAGACCCAGCCTCTGCCATCAGGATTCTCCTGTCTAAAGTGCTGTGTGCCTCAGCATGGGGTGGGGTGGCTGTGTGGGGACACAGTCAGGGACCAAACACTGTCTGGCGTCCCTGGAGGGTGGTCAGGAGAGCCTCCCAGAAGGGGGAAATCTCTGAAATGAGACAAGAGGAGGAGGAGCCATCACTTAACCGCACCTGGGTCAGTTACTTCCCTGAGCCTCAGTTTCATTCTCTGTAAAAGGGACCAGTGATACCTGCTTCTGAGGGAGGGGTGAGAGGCTTAAAAGAGATGGTGGCTGGGCCGGGCATGGTGGCTCACACCTGTAATCCCAGCACTTTGGGAGGCCGAGGAAGGCGGATCACAAGGTCAGGAGAGTGAGACCTTCCTGGCTAACATTGTGAAACCCCGTCTCTACTAAAAATGCAAAAAATTAGCCAGGCATGGTGGCATGTGCCTATAGTCCCGGCTACTCAGCAGGCTGAGGCTGGAGAATCCCTTGAACCCAGGAGGCAGAGGTTACAGTGAGCAGAGGTCACGCCACTGCACTCCAGCCGGGGCGACAAAGTGAGACTTTGTCTCAACAAAAAAAAAAAAAAAAAAAAAGAAAGAAAGAAAAACCATGGTGGGTGTAAAAGAACTGACAAATCTCTTACACCACCAGGTGCCCGGGGAGATGTTCGGTGAACTGAACTTTTGCAAAAGTCTTTTCCTCTGGCAGTCAACACCTGGTACTTAGTGTAACCAAGTGTCCTGTCCTATTCTAGAAAAAGCCCAGCTGCAACCCAGCAATAAGTGAAGCAGCCTCAGAGTCCCCTGTCTCTCTAGGGTGGGTAATGGAAACTCCTTCACCCAGAGGGAGTGACGCAGAAGTCTCCAGAATTCAGACTGTTCTCATGCACCTTGCCTCTCCAGGGCCTGTGACCTTTAGATGTGTTCCCTATTTCTATAATTATGAAGTTAGATGCAGGAGAATTCTCGAGAACTTAAAGGCACTTCCCCTCTACTTATTCCCCCTTTCATTTTTTCTTTTCTTTTTTTTTTTCTTTTTCTTTCTTTTTTTTTTTTTTTGAGAAAGAGTCTTGCTCTGTTGTCAGGCTGGAGTACAGTGGAGTGATCTCAGCTCACTGCAAACTCTGCCTCCTGGGTTCAAGTGATTCCCCTGTCTCAGCCTCCTGAGTAGCTGGGACTACAGGTGTGCACCACCATGCCTGGCTAATTTTTTTTTTTTTTTAACTATTAATAGAGATGGGGTGTCACCAAGTTGGCCAGGATGGTCTCAATCTTCTGACCTCATGATCCACCTGCCTTGGCCTCCCAAAGTGCTAGGATTACAGGCATGAGCCACCACGCCCGGCCTCCCCCTTTCATTTTAACAACTGTTCGTTGAGCACCTACTCTGTGCCAGGTGATAGAGATTCTGTTTGACAGGCCAGACAAGGTCCCAGCCCCAGTAAAACTGTGGGTTCCGGGGAGGGGCAGAGAGATTGACGATAAAGACAAGAAAACAAAACAAAATAAAACTGCAACAAGTACTGTGAAGGGAAACAAGCAGGATGCTGTAATAAAGAATTTGGGGGGCTGCTTAGGGTGGCTGATAGGAGGTGACAGGCTGAGATCTGAAGTTGGAGCTGACCATTGGAGGATTAAAGAGGAGGAAAGAATGCTCTGAACAGAGACAACAGCAGCTACAAAGGTCTTGGGGAAGGGAAAACTTACAGAAACTGAAGAACTGCGTGAGGAGGTGGTGGGGCCAGGGGGCAGCACAAAATGAGGGCCTGGAGTGGGCAGGGACTATAGGGCCTGGTGAAGGGTTCAGACTTGTTTCTAGGGACAGTGGAGGAGTTTCTAGGGACAGTGGAGGAGTTTTAAGCAAGGGAATGGCAATATCAGAATTTTCTTTTCTTTTCTTTATTTACTCAGACAGAATCTTGTGTGGTACAGGCTGGAGTGCAGTGGTGTGATCACGGCTCACTGCAGCCACCACCTCCTGACTTCAAGTGATTTTCCCACCTCAGCCTCCCAAGTAGTTGGGACAATAGGCACATACCACCACGTCCTGCTAATTAAAAATTTCTGTGTTGCCCAGGTTGGTCTAGAACTAACTCAAGTGATCCTCCTGCCTCAGCCTCCCAAAGTGCTGGGATTATAGGTACGAGCCACTGCACCAGCCAGATTTCTGTGGCTGGTTTTTTTTTGTTGTTGTTTGTTTTTTGGTTTTTGGTTTTTTTTTGAGATGGAGTTTCACTCTGTTGCCCAGGCTGGAGTACAGTAGCATGAGGTCAGCTTACTGCAACCTCCGCCTCCTGGGTTCAAATGATTCTCCTGCCTCAGCCTCCTAAGTAGCTGGGATTACAGACACACGCCACCAGCCCCAGCTGATTTTTTGTAATTCCACATTTTGTATTTTTAGTAGAGACGGCGTTTCACCATGTTGGCCAGGCTGTTCTTGAACTCCTGACCTTGAGTGATCCATCCCCCTTGGCCTCCCAAAGTGTTGGGAATACAGGTGTGAGCCACGGCACCCAGCCCCAGCCAGATTTAATTTAAAAGGCTCATCCTGGCTGCCGAGGGGGCTATCAGAGGGCAGGAGTGGAAGCCATGTTCCACTGCTGATCAGGAGCCACTACCCTCAGTGTCCCTATGATGTCGGGTAGTCCCCTCACTCCTCTAAACCCGTTTATTTACACATATGTGTGACTGTGAGAATCAAATCTGGAATGAACAGAAATGCATTTTGCAAAGCTGAAAAGTATGCCTAAATGCAGGAATTCCCGCCTTATTCGAAGTGGAGAGTCCTTTGAAAACCTGCTGGGTTAGATCTCTCTGGGGTTCTTGGGTGAGAAAATGCTGGGGCTGAGTCCCTAACTGAGCACCTCATATCCGAGAGAGCCCCCTTTCCCTGCCTAGGGTTACAGGAGAGGCCTCAGGGGCTGGGGACAGGGCACCCAGCAGAGGCTCCTACTCTTGACGGGGAAGATGGGAAAGAGGGTTCCCTGTCTGGCTTCTGACTCACCCTGGAGCAATGGTTCTCTTGTGTTGCAGGGAGGGCGACAGCTTTGAGCATGGGGGTGACCACTGGACCACCCTGCAGCCATCCACATGCACAGACAGCTCCTTTCACCCCGTGTCAGGGAGTTCTCTGACATTTTCTCAAACTCATTCATGAACTCTGGCTTCAAGGCCTTTGAGCTAGAAAAGGGGACTGAACTGGGACACCTGCCCTTTTACTCCACCTTTTTTGTCTGATCTTTCTTGCATTAAGAGGGGAGACCCCCTAGACACACCTAAGGGCTGATGCTGGGGGTAACTGTCTTGATCGCTTTGGGCCAAATCGAGGGCACCTTCCTGATCCCTGACTCTTGTTATCTGCCACAGGGACTCCGTTGTTGAAGGGGGACTTGAGATTTTCTCCAAGGAGGGGTCGCTGTGAGGGCCTTTCCTGCCTGCTAGGGGCTTCAGTTTGGCGGCCCCCCTCTCCCGACCTCCAGGGAAGGGAAGGGTCTCCATCTCCCCGTGGCCTCTCGAGTCTGGGGGTTTCCCCGGGAGGCCTGAGGTTGGGAACCGGGCTCCGCACACCGATCAGGCCTCGCCCGCTAAGGTGGTACGACTCCGGCCGGCCCATCCTATCCCATTCCGGCCACCAGGGCGGGTGACGGGACCGGGCGTCTGGGGCGCAGCAATGCAAGGTCTGGGGCGTAGCATGCGAGGCGTGTGGCCGCCACCCCCAGTGTCCGCCCTGCTGTGGGCTCTGGGAGTGAGGCGGCAGCGGCCCGGAGGGCGGGGGCGGGAGGCAGGCCGGACCCCTCCCCGCGCGGCCCGCTGCGTGGGCCGGTCTCGGTCTCGGGTGTCCCGGCCGGGGCGGGGCGCGGCTCGGCAGCAGTGCCGCAGGGGGCCGGGCCGCTTCCCCATTCGGGCGCAAGAGCCATGGAGGCGCTGAGGGAGTCCGTGCTGCATTTGGCCCTGCAGATGTCGACCTACAAGCGGGCCACGCTGGACGAGGAGGACCTGGTGGACTCGCTGTCCGAGGGCGATACGTACCCCAACGGCCTGCAGGTAGGCGCCCTCCGCTCTCTCCCGGTGTCCGGAGCCCTGGGCCTGGGCATGCGCGCCGCTGCCGCCGCGTCCCCCCGCGACCCCGCCCCCGCCCACACCTACCCCGCCTCTTCCCTTCCCCTGTCCCGCCGACCAGGAGGGGCCGCGCCTCCACGCAGCTGGGGCTCCACGCGGAGAAGCCTTCTGGAGCCCGAGGCTCACCCCACTAGCTTCCCCTCACCTGCCCTGCCGTCCCCAGATCCTCCCGGCCACCTCCTGGGCCACAGCCCAGGTGGCAGAGTTGAAAGCACCCCCCAAGCAAGACCCGACCTCGCCCAGTTCCCTTTCCATGGAAGGCGCAGTTTGTGAATGTCCGGGGACTTGCCCAGGCCCATTACAGGCACAGTCTACAGCTCTTTCTGTTTCAGCCTGGAAAGCTCCGCATCCCTGGGACCCAGTCCCTCAGTCCGGGGCAAACCGGGAAGGTTGGTCACCTTATCTGGGAGGCAGTGCCGCCCGCTTCTTTCTCTTTTCCCCCAATACCTGAATTTCCTGGGGTCAGGAACCTGTCCTCTGCCCCCTCTCGCTGCCGCTTTTCAGCCTACTCAAGAAGTCCATTCCTCCCCTCCCCTGGGTCTGCGCCTGTAGGCATCTCATCTGCCCACTCCTGGGGAGGGCCCACCCCTGTCCCTGCCTTGTGGCAGGACATTGAGCAAGGCTGCTTTCTGCCCTCCTTTCCCTGGGGGGCTGCACTGGGACAGTTATGGCCAAGACCTCAGCCCTGGAGGGGTTTGGAGCCAGGCAGGTGAGTGGGAAGGTGTTGGAAATGGTGCTGACACCCTAGGAGACCCAGTGATCTGGCTCTTGAAAAATCAGTGTAGAAAGAGGAGCTGGGGCACCCCAGTCCCGGAGAACTTCTGCCAGGTAGACCAAGGGAGGTATTTGGGAGAATCTTGGGGCCACCTGGTGAACTGGCACCAAATCACCACTCTTCCCAAAGGCAAGCTTAGGATGAGTGGACACTGGGGCTGCCAGGCCCACCCCACGCAGACACACCTCTTAGAAGCTGGAATAATCCTCCCAGTGAAGGGAGACACCACGGATGGAATTCCTCCTCCAGGAGTCAGATTGGCTCAGGGAGATCCAAACTTGTCCCAAGTGTACTACCCAATAGGATGTGGTACCCCTGCTTAGCCTTCAGGAACATCCCCGAGAGCTGTAGGGACTACCGTCCCCACTTACAGATGTGGAAACTGAGGCTCTGAGAGGGACAACCACTGGCCTTCGGTCACAGAACTGAAAATCCAGGAGCAACATGTCAAACCCAGTCTGTCTCACGCCTCTTCCCAGTGGACTCTTCTTAAGAGGCTGAAGCCAGCAGTAAATCAGATTTCTGGGGCAGGCGCTTTTCCCTTCAGCAATCAAAACAGAACCTAATCAGCAATGCTTTTCAGTCTCATCTTCCACAGAAGGGTCTAAATATATCAGCACAAAAGCATTTCAGAATTCACAGCAAAGTAATATGCTGTGTTTCTGTTATCCTCATAGCAGCCTGCTTGGGGTATAGCCTTTTTTTTCAGATGAAATAACGTGTTCATCTGGAGAGGGCCCCAGGCCAAGCAAAGGGAGCCCATCTCTGAAGCCGCCACCTGGGTTTGAACTCTTACTCCACTGGTGACCTGGAACAAGCGGCTTAATCTCTTTCAGTGATGATGGCCTCACTGTAAAATGGATGTTAGAGGAAGTGGATGTCATGCATATTACTGGGCCTGCTAGGATTATTGTTTTATGACCCATGAAGTAAGGGCTGGTGTGGCCACATTACTGATGATAAAGGTGAGGTACAGAGAGAGGTTAGACATTCCTGTGGTCGTATGGCTGCATATGGGTTGGAGGTTAGTGTCATGTGCCTTACACCAAGCTCCCCAAATGAATACATTTTCCACTTTCCTTGCAGGAAAAGGCAAAGAGGTTACCCAAGGATTTGGGACATTTCTGTGGGTACACAGCTAGGCTTGCATGGAGCCTCCACAAATTTCTCAAAGTGAACATAAATTAGCCAGTGCTTGCTTTCTAGCCAAGAACCCCTTCATCTCAAGTTATGAGGCAGAATATTCTATTAAGTTAATGTTTTCAATCATTGGGGTTTTTTGTTCCCCTCCCCCCCAGTATAAAAGCGTCACATGCTCACTTGGGGGAGAAAAAAGATAGTCAAGTATGAAAAGGAATTTAAAAAGGAGCAGTAATCCTGCCACTTGGAGATAACGGTTTCTCGTTTTTCACACTTGTACATATATATTTTTAAACATAGTCGAGCTTACTCTAAATGCACAGTGTTTTATCCTGCATTTTTCATTCAGTGCCACTACATAAGCATCTTCTACATTGTCAAAAACTTCCAAAACCTGCTGCCATTAAAAATCCTAACACCTCGTGGTACCAACATATAAAAGTATATTCATTCAATCCCCTGTAGCTGGACACTTAGGCCCAATCGCTGTCACTCTATGGGTGATGCATTTTTTAGCTTTTCAGATTATTTCCTTTGGGCCGTTTGCTAGCAACGCAACTTCTCCCTCAACTTTATTTCTATTTATTTATTTATTTTGAGACGGAGTCACTCTCTGTCGCTCAGGCTGGAGTGCAGTGGCACGATCTCAGCTCACTGCAACCTCTGTCTCCCAGGTTCAAGCGATTCTCCTGCCTCAGCTTTCAGAGTACCTGGGATTACAAGTGCCTGCCCCACAGCTAGATAATTTCTGTATATTTAGTAGAAACAGGGTTTTGCCAGGTTGGCCAGGCTGGTCTCGAACTCCTGCCCTCAGGTGATCCACCTGCCTCAGCCTCCCAAAGTGCTGGGATTACGGGCATGAGTCACTGCATCAAGCTTGCTCTCTCAATTTTAGACATTTTTTTGAGATGAAGTTTCACTCTTGTTGTCCAGGCTGGAGTGCAATGGTGTGATCTCAGCTCACACAACCTCCACCTCCTGGGTTCAAGCGATTCTCCTACCTCAGCCTCCCAAGTAGCTGGGATTACAGGCCTGCACCACCACACCTGGCTAATTTTGTATTGTTAGTAGAGATGGGGTTTCTTTATGTTTGTCTTGAACTCCCAGCCTCAGGTGATCCACCCACCTCAGCCTCCCAAAGTGCTGGGATTACTGGCGTGAGCCACCGCACCCAGCAATTTTAGACTTTTTGAAATAGACCTTTCACCCCAAATCCTCTCTCTTGATAGACAGCTAAAAAATAAGCTATTTGATCTTTCAAGATTTTGAAGTCTATTTGTTTTAGGAAGTCCCAAGTGATCAACACCAATAACTAATAAATGAAAACTTCCGTTTTTCAGCCAAACTTGCCACATTTGTTACTTTATTACTTGCCGCGTTTATTTATTATTATTGGATGTGCTGGTCAGTGTTGAATTTAACTGGAGCAAAATTCTACCTGTACCTCACCTGAAAGAATTTTTCTTTTGCTTTCTTTTTTTTATATTCTTTGAGACAGAGTCTTGCTCTGTTGCCCAGGCTACAGTGCAGTGGCACAGTCTGAGCTTACTACAGCCTTAACCTGTGATTCTCCTTCCTCAGTCTCCCAAGTAGCTGGCACTACAGGCACATGCCACTGTGCCTGGCTAATTTTTTGTATTTTAAGTAGAGATGGGGTTTTACCGCATTGTCCAGGCTGGTCTCGAACTCCTGGCCTCAAGTGATCCTCGTGCCTTGGCCTCCCAAAGTCCTGGGATTACAGCCACCATGCCTAACGTTTTCTTTTTCCTTATCCCATATTTTGGGCACAAATTACTTCCAGTCTACTAAAATGAGTCACTCTGGACTAAGCACAGAATTCAAAGGCAGCTGGCTCTAACTTGGAGCCCCAGCTCTTGTCTCTCCTGGGGGCTGTGAGACCTGAACGTGGCTCACTTCCATAGCTTTCTTTGTAAAATGAGGTTAACATTATTAGCCCACCTCTCAGAGCTGTTGCAAAGCCTCAAATGAGACAACATGAGAGAAAGCATTTTGGATAATGCTTGGACAATGGATTTGGTTACTATGAGGATTGTTATAGAGCCTCGCTATGGGTGATATGATATAATGTATATCTAAGAATGATAACTTTCCCTCTGAAGCCTCTGCTCTGCCACAGCAAGCTGCCTGCTCTTCCCACACCTGAACATACACCATTTCAGTGGCAGGAAGGGGACTAGCGGAAGTGACACCTGCAGCCTGAACTAAGGAGCAGATGGCCACATCTACCAAAACCTTCAAAATTCATTCAGTTACTTCTAAAAATCTTTTTTTGTTGTTGTTAAGAAAAAAGAAAGGTGAGATATTTAAATTCTTAGTTGTGGTTGTCTCATTGTTCCCATCTTGCACGGGGCTTTCTTTCCTTCTTTTTCTTTTTTTGAGACAGAGTCTCACTCTGTCGCCCAGGCTGGAGTGCAGCGGTGCAATCTCGGCTCACTGCAAACTCCACGTCCCGGGTTTAAGCAGTTCTTCCACCTCAGCCTCCCCAGTAGCGTGCCACCACGCCTGGCGTTTTGTATTTTTAGTAGACATGAAGTTTTACCGTGTTGGCCAACCTGGCCTCAAACTCCCGACCTCAGGTGATCCACCCGCCTTGGCCTCCCAAAGTGCTGGGATTACAGGCATTAGCCGCAGTGCCCGGCCTCTTTTTTTTTTTTTTTTTTTTTTGAGGCAGCGTCTTGCTCTGTCACCCCGGCTGGCGTCCAGTGGCATGATCATGGCTCACTGCAGCCTTGAACTCCTGGGCTCAAATAATCCTTTCGCCTTGGCCTCCCAAAGTGCTGGGATTACAGATGTAAGCCACTATGCCCGGCCAAAGCTGTCTTTCGAGGGTGATTTCAGGGACAGGCCCACTCAAAACTTTAAAAAGCCGTCTCTGTTTACTTGGAGTTCTTATCAACTCTGTTTGCCTGTTAGAACCTTGAGGTTCTAGAGTCTGGGAAGTCACACCTGGGACCTCATTTTAGAGATGGGAGACTGAGGCCCAGGGACT